AAACCCATCCTTAGTATGCCACCGTCCCATACCGGTGCCTACTTTCCAATCCTCCAGTAGTCAATAATACCAATAAATCAAGTATATATCAACTAAATTCCAACATCCAACATTCAATGTTAGCAGTGATAAAATAAGTATTGATAAATAGGGTCACAACAACAACATATACATGCCCAATTTAAGTTGTTCCCTTTAGTCTGATATAAAGACAGAATTAATTAAAACTTCCATTTAACACCTTACAAATGACATACAGATATGTAGGGTATGTATCACAAAATCCTAACCTCCACAGTTGATACTGACTGTGATAATGTAAGCATCAAAACAATATTCACAGTATATATGTAGACATGCTCAAATTATAGTGTTCCACAAAACCGATCTAGTGTTAAACTCAAATCCTCCTAGTATTTAAGTTCCAACAGTTGCTATTACAGAAGTTAAGATAGCTATCATCTAGACCCATCCTTCCAATAATTTATACTAGCAGTGGTAAGGAAAAACGTGAACCACAGAACCACAATGCATCCACAAACATGCTTAGTCTAGGTTGAACAAGCATACAACACTACCGTAACAACCAGTTTCATAGCAAAACAAATATCATTTTAGTTTGGTTTAATCTTCATAAATCCTGGAATCATTTAAGAGTGCAAAGAGTATGAAGCCTAAGGGAAAGAGTAAGGATAGAATCTTGCCTCAGAAACTTTTGTTCAAAGTTTCAACGCCGTCTTCTTAAAAAATCCCGGCGAGTTCCAAAACCCGGTTACTGTTCACCGGTACGAAACAGTATTCCCGAACTCAAAATCTGATCTCCACAGTTCAGATTGTGCGACACTGAGTCATGAACCTATCCTCCAAATTTCAGCTCGATCGGACCACGGACGAAGCGGGATCGGATGTTTAATGAAATCTGGGCAGAATGGAAAAAAAACCTGTGCGACTCAGTTACTGTTCACGAGTACGAATCACTGTTCCCAAGGTCAAACTCTGATCTTCACCGTTCAGATTGTGCGTCACTGAGTCATGAACCTCTCCTCCAAAATTCAGCTCGATCGGACCACGGACGAAGTGGGATCGGATGTTTGATGAAATCTGGGCAGAATGGAAAAAACATGTGCGACCCAGTTACTGTTCACGAGTACGAATCACTGTTCCCGAGGTCAAACTTTGATCTTCACCGTTCAGATTGTGCGTCACTGAGTCGTGAACCTCTCCTCCAAAATTCAGCTCGATCGGACCACGGATGAAGCAGGATCGGAGCTTTAATCAAACTTTGGCAGAATGTGAAAAACTGCGTTTTTCCTTCTCCACTTCCACAAAACGTGTGCTTTGTTTAAAAAACCCTACACAGATGTCTACCTTATACTTATAGAGTTTTTCTAAACCCTAGGTTCATTTAAGTCCAACTCACAATCCTAATCGGCCCATCCAATTAACGTAGAAACCTACGACGGCTATAATATAAAACCCTAATTTATATTGTAATTAAAACCCTAGTTAGATGTATTTACCTAATTACCCTATTCAGCATTAAATACTTAACAAATAATCTAATTGAACAAAATAATAATTAGTAAACCTAATTAAACCAAATAAGACACACATAGAATAATTAAACCAATTACACTTAAACCATTAATGCCAATTAAATAATTAAAACACTAACAAGTAATTCCAATCAAATAACTAAACCAATTACACTTAAACCATTAATGCCAATTAAATAATTAAAACACTAACAAGTAATTCCAATCAAATAACTAAAAATAAATATTATTTAAATAAATTAAATCACCACAAAAGAAAACAATTAAGCACCTAATAAAAAAAAATAATGACACATTATCAAATAAAATGCACTTAAATAATAAATTAAATACCATTAAATACCAGGAATATCCTTTTTAAAATTAGGGGTATTACACTTGCCTTTGTCTTGAAAGGAGAAGCAGTAAGTGTGACTGTTCCTGATGCCTTTGTCTTGAATTCGATTGCCTCGGCTGGGGGATGGATGGCTTCAAGAGCCTCACCACGTGATGTTTGCCAGGTAATGGTAGATTTGGTTGTAACATTTAAGGATTTGATTGTGGAGAAAGGAAAATCAATATCGTTGTCGAGACAATATTTTTCAAACCATGTGAAGAAAGGGGCTGAGAACTTGTGTTGTATGCAGAAAGCATACCACTTTTCTCTAACAAGGATGGTTTTTTGAGCTGAAAAGGTTTGGAAATACCATTGTCTTTTCGAACCATTGATCGCAGAGTAGAAATCTTTGCGTAAAAAGTCTTTATCGATCTCATAAACCTTTCTTCATTTCTGTTTCCGGACCTGGATCCCGTTTAGGCTAGGTGTGCCGTTTTGGGTTGGTCGGACGGACGGTCATTTAGGTAAGGTTCAATGAGTTTTTTCAACCGTAGCATGTCTTCGACATCGCCAACTCCTCTTGGAGGAAGAGTGATAGTTAACCAAAAAGAACAGCATATTGATAGTGGTCAGAATGATCAGTGGGATACTTGGATTATACCCAAGGTTCCCATTAGGGATATTTACAAATCTTCGACTTTCAATCTCAAAATAGGATACTAGAAATGCTAAAACCATGCACATCAATCACATGATTCATATTGGTCAACGATTAAGGCATATGAAGCCTTCATTACCATGAGTTGGTAACGGACATTAGAACTCCAGAATGCGGGTGATGAAAAATTGTGTTTTTAGCTAAGCATGAAAAATATTGGGATTTTTTAATAATGATTATTTCAAAATAATTTTTTCCGGTAATAACTTCCTATACTTCAAATAGCCTAAGCTGATCAATTTTATCAGAATTTATGACCAAGTTTACATTGGTCTACATAATGATTCATTTTTACCAAAACTGTCCAAAATCCAAATTTGTACAAAAACTGAATTTTTACATTTTGATTTAGTTAGATTTCAATTTTCTTATATTTTTTATTGAATCCAAATAGGTGGTACTTCCTTATTTATATTGTAAACTTAAAGTAAATGGACATATAAATACTGTAAAGACATTTAGCAAAACAGAGAGTTGAGTTCTCAAATGAGATGTTTTGGCCAACCGAACAAAGGGGTTCAGCAAACCAACAAGGGTTTCACGCAAAAAGGTTCTCAGATTAAATGCATCGGCTGACCGAATTAAGGCATCAGCCAACCAACAAGGTACTTTTGGCCGACCGAAAGTGTACCATAAGCCGACCAACATAGAGACAAATTTGAAATAACGACTAGTCTGACCATTTGACTTCATAGGGACTTTACCATTTTGCCCCCAAACGGATATATTCTTCCAATAGCCTATAAATACACATTGTATGCACATTATGGGTATACAAGAGAGCCAACACTTGAGAGACCTCATTAGGCATCAAAAGAGAGCTTTTGTTCTCACATTTTTCTTTTCATCTCTCTCATTCATTCATATGGTATACTTGAGAGATTTAACCAAGGGTTCAAAGAGCTTTTGCTTTATTTTATACTTAAGAGATTCTATTGAGTTCATAAGAGTTTTTATTCTTCACTTATATCATCCTCTCTCATTCATATCATTTATAGAGTTTGAGCTTCACTTATATTCATTAATACTCTAGTTGTGAGCTAAAATTTGTACATCTATCTTTGAGAAATTTCTTGTACTTCATTATTTTTGTTACTATCTATTATAAGATTTAGTTTGACCCACCATGTTGGTGTGACCCAAAGGAAGACTAAGGGAAGGTTGTTCTCTTAATAAGGTGAAACAAGGAGTTACTTTATGTAAAGATTTGCTCTCCACCCATAAGGAGAAGCCATAGTGGATTGGAAAACTTAAGAGGGGTTTTGAGCCGAGGAATATGAGTTTCTGAAACTCGCAAAAATTGCCATGTTATAGTTTGCAATTTCTCTTCCCTTATCTCTCTTATAATTGTGCTATTTAATTACTTATTTCATATCTTTATAATTGCACAATTGTGTTAAGTAATTTGCTTGAAATTGCTTTTCTATATTGTGAAAATTGTCCATTGTTTGTTATTGACTCTATTCACCCCCCCCCCCCCCCCTCTAGAGTTAATACTTAGGTAACACAAAATGATATCCAATATTACAATTATTAAGTGATTAGGGTTTACCCGGCCTCGTACGAGACATCTCGAGGATTGATCATCCAGTAACAATGCTGCAATGGAAGGAATTGTGTTTTTTGAGATTGTGTTTCAAAGTCAAACACGTAGAAAGGGATAGGTGAAGCTTAGGTAGTGTTTGACGCTAAAATGTGTTTTATACACAGATGTTTGCGTCGCTAAAATGATAAAGGGGGTAGGTGAAGCTTGTTAATAAGGTTGTATTGTCAATATCCCATTGTTGAGATTACGCTTTGACAAGTCAGTGATATGGTGTGTGTTGTCGACATATCATTGGTTGTTGAGATTACACTTGCCAAGTCAGCAACAATCACACTGAAACGGCGTCATTTTAATTAATGGCAATTTGGTAATCTCACTTTTTCCGGTGAGCTCCGGTGAACAAATTTTTCATTTTGTCCTTAATTTTCACATTTTAAATAGTTTAGGGGGCATTAGTTAATTCAGGAGGTTTTATGTTTTTGGCTGGAAGTTCAGGAGGGTTTATTGCCTTTTACTATTTTATTTACGAAAAATAAAACAAAAACGGAGTGCCTTTTTTTTTTTTTTTTGTTTTTTAATCTTCCAAGTGGATATAAAAGAAATTTTATGCAAAGTGAAAATCTTGTACAGTTTAGGTACAATTTGAAAACTGTTCTAGTAATACAAATCCTATACCAACACTACTATTGAAAGTGACCAGAAACCTTCGTGTACCTCACCGTGGTTACTCGATCTCTCTTTATATATACAAACCACTATCTCTCTATAATGTTACAAGCACACACACAATACACTTTCATCGTCTTTTTCACTCGTTACTTTTACACAGCAGTGAGAGAATTTTGATTATTCGTAACGTACAACATGGAGTACTTTGACATGGAGTATCGTGTTCTCGACATCACCGTTATCTCTGCAGGAGGCCTCAAGAACGTGAATGTGATGTCGGATATGGACGTTTACGTGGTGGCTTCAATCTCCGGCGACCGGAGAACTGAGAGGAGGACTCTCACGTCGGACAGGGGTGGCGGAAGCTGCCCGGAGTGGAACCACCGCATGAAGTTCTCGGTGGCTGAGGACGACGTGGCCACGCCCAGCGAGCACTTTGTCCGGTTCGATCTCCGGTCCAAGCGCAATATTCTTGGCGACAGAGACATCGGCTATGTCTCCATCCGCCTCCATGAACTCCTCGAAAAACTCAAAAAAGCAGGAGGAGGCGCCGGAGGAGGGGAGCGTGTCGCGGAGCACAAGGTCTTTGATACAACCGGGAAAAGTACGGACGGTAGGCTGAAGTTTTCGTATAGGTTTGATGAGGTGTTCAGTGCGCCACCGCCGCAGAGATTTAATGAGCCGGGGAAGCCCTGTGCGGCTCCTCCAGGGGTGGCGCCGCCACATCTTCCAGCTAAGGTGTACCTGTTCTCGGCAGAGACGGATGCCATAAAGTATGGAGTTGAACAGATGCAGAAGAAGAATAAGCATTTTCTCTGTTTGGGTTTGTCCCGATGATTTGATTTTGGTGATTGTGGGCTTTGGGAAGTTTAAATTTAGTTTTTTTTTTTTTTGAAAACAATTAATTGTAAATATTAATTAGGGTATGATTTCAATGTTATATTATTTTCAATCTCTGCTTCAAATTTTACTCAATTTGAAACACATATGAATTTCTTTTTGCTTAGGACTGTTTACTGGTAACAATTTGTTTTTAGGTAAAATAGAAACTCTGTTTTTTTTTAAAATAAATCAAAACAACAATTTTAAAATCAAAATTTGTGCCAGTATTTGGATTGTTAATGGGAAATATTAATTTGGGTATAATTTGAATGTTATATTATTTTTGTTAGTTTTTCTTTCTTTTTTTTTCACATTTACTCTTTCAATTTCATTGATTATTCTAATTAGAGATACAGTTGAAAATCAATTAGAGCTTGTAATATATAAGCTTTCTGTTTTGATTAGGACTACTCAATTAGAACTTGAAATTATCATTTTGTAATTTAATAAAATGAAACTTATCATAAAAAAATAAAAATAAAAAGGGTATTATTGAAAAGTTCTTTGAGGATGTACACGGTCAATGAGAAAGTAATACATATACTATTTATAACTTGATAAGCTGATAATAAGAGAAAACATGTCTATTTATTATCCAATAGTTGTTTGTAAACATGATCTATCATGTTAAATTTACACAAAAATTTTAGACTAATTATTTTTAGGTTTAATCATTATTTTATATTTTTGTGTAAAAATATATTTGTTAATAACAACCAACTATATATCATGCCCAAAACCTCACATAACTTCTACAAATCTACTTAACATAGGTAATTATACAAACCTACTTAACATAGGTTGATTAGTTAATGAAATAAGAAAGAGGGAGGAGAGAAAAAATATGTTAATGAAGTTGTGCAAAATACACAATAATTTTACACATTAATAAGGTGACAATGTAAATAAAATAAAATAAAAAATTTACACAAAAAGATCTTTTAACACAAACGTCTCACACTTTTAAATAAAGAACTATCTAATAATATCTAATAATTTCTACCTTTTGTCCATGTAATTGTGACAATCAATGAATATTTGTTTAAAGGGGTTGCCGGACCTTTTATTAAAGGTCTTGTGAGCTAATAGTATCTCCTCTATCTTGATTGTCCATATAATTATGACAATCAATGAATATTTGTTTAAAGGGGTCAAGGATTCTAACATTAATTATTAGCAATAATTAAAAACCAATTAAGTTTCCTCATGGTTGAATATTTTGGGTCCTTAGATACCGAACTTTTTATTAAAGGTCTTGTGAGCTAATGATATCTTCTCAATCTTCCAAAGTAATTAGTTTTTTTGAGATGGTTCAAATCCTCAAAGAAACAAAGGGTGCACTTAATAACATTTTCGTTTTCTGTTTTTGCAGTCTTAAGAAAGCAAAAACATGTTTTTATTTTCTTGAGTGAAAATAAAAAACAAAAATAATGTGTATTAACACTTTGTTGTCACAAATTTGATAACATAAAACAATAACAGTATTTAGTAATACATATTTGTTACAAAATGTACATACTATTCTTTAAATTTTTTATTTTAGTTTTTTCATTTGTATTTTAATTTTTTTTATGACAAGAATTTTAGGGGTTAGTGATTAAAGGGGAGGAGGAGGGTGGATGACTTGAACACGGACACAGGGAACAACCCAACTACTCAGATATGGTCACATGACACTTGCTTCCATTAATATCAAAAGGCCATAAATCTACAAAATTCAATTTAAAATTACAAATCTTAATAATACCCAAGACATTATAACTACAAAATTAGATATACCAAATAAAAACACTCTCACCATTTATGTATATAAATACATGTATATGGATGATGTATACATTTATTATGTGATATATAATATATTTAGCATGTCATAATTTATTATGAATAAAAAATGTTAAATAATATATCTTATATGTAATAAAATATATTCTATATTATAATATTATAAATTAATTATAATTTAATATTTACATATAATATAATATAGATATGATTTATGATAATATAAAATATCTACTGCATAATAATTTAATAACATTATATTCTATATCAAAAAATATTTTGTCACAAAAAATAATTTATATTATTATTTAATATATTATATTTTAAAATATATTTTTATCAAATAAAAAATAATGTACACTATTTAATATATTCTATATTTTTAATATTTTTATTAACATTTAATAAATAAATAAATATACATATATATATAGTTAAAGGATAAGCGTGTATATATAAATAAATGTGAAGTGTACATACAACCCCTATAGGGTGGGAAGCAAAAGGATCAACAAACTTTTGCAACTACAAGGAAATAGATCTAGACCACAGAACACAATAGCATAACAGCAAGACAAGGCACCTGCTCCAAACCTTCTTGCATGACAGTGGTTATCCATGAACAATCCTCACCATTGCTTAGGGGCCAGGGATGTCCACAAGATGTGGAGCAGCTCTGTTGGAAGAGAGTCTGTAGCTGTGAGGGAGAAGAGATCAGCTTCAATTCTGAGCTACTCCTGTCTCCTGAGCTTGAGTGAGACAAGTCTGCTTCTTACACAGTTCTTAATCTGAGCAATAATGTTGTGGGTAGTGGAGCATTAGTCCCTGAATGCTCTAGCATTCCTCTCCATCCAAATGAAGTAAACTGCAGCAGCCCAAAGCAACTTGTGAAGTAAGAATTTTGTTGAAGCCTAGTGTATTGAGCACCAAAGAAGTAAGTCTGACCAACTGTTTGGCATGATGTAAAATCTAGCAGTTTCTTGAATAAACCTCCAAATGTGTGAAGTGTAGTCACATTTGAAGAAGAGATGATCAATGGATTCCCATGCTAAATTACAGAGATAACAGTTATTTGTAGAGCACTAGTTTTGCATCAAGTGTATTTAATTAATCTCCCTCTAGCAGCTAGCCAAAGGATAAGGTTGTGTTTGGGTATGTGGTGTTTGAACCACACCGCTTTATGCCAAGGAAAGATTGGGGATGGGGGGCTAAAGTAAGTAAGGGTATGTGCCATTGTAAAGACCTATGTAGGGCTAGGTATTCAATGTAATCTAGTTCTGTAGAGGGCTGGGGTAATTCATATAACTATGAAATGAAGTTTCTTGTTTGGAAAAAATCGTGCAGCTAGATTGAGTTTGGATGAACCCATTGGTTGTTGGAAATTAGCTAGGCTATCAACTAGAATATTATTATCTAGTTGAAGACTTTCCACACCATTGAGACTCAATTGCTGCTTAGTATATAAACACAAATAATATAAATTTTATTTGAAATGAATAGTGTTGTGTAGTAACAATAATGAAACGATTCTATGCCGAAAATATAAGAAACATCTTTTGTATGTTTCTTCTTCTCTTCACAAAAATTAAAAACATTTTCTGTTATAGAAAAATAAAAATATATTATTGAACGCAATATTTGTTTTCGTTTTGCTTTTTTAGGGGTTGATAATAGAAAATAAGAAACGTTTCTCGTTACTAAACGCAGGCTAATGTATAAAACAATTTTTTTTTTTTTTTTTTTTAAAAAGATGAAGAAGAAATAAGTACACCTCGCTGACTACTAGGTGTACTCCACACACTCTTCTCTCTCACAGTGGTTGTGACATTCATCCCGTTATTAATATTTTAAGCAATTAAAATAAAATATTATACAAGTTGATCAAACAAAGTTACAACCTTAATTTATTAAAAGAAAAGAAAAAAAGAATTAACATTATTTGTGTGGAGAAATTTGTGAAGTTTCTTTAAATAATTGGAGTGCATTTCTACATAATAAAAGTTTCATTAAATATTATTATAAATCCAAGTAACATATGCTCTTAAGCACATACCATACTTTTTTTATAAAATAAAATAAAATAAAATAAAAAAATCATTTGCACAGATCCAAGAGCTCCGCATTGATTTGAACTAAGTTCAAGTTTCTAAATAAATCAACCACAATGCATCAATTAAATTGCAACCAGTTTACGAATGTGCATTTTTGGTTAAATGGACAACTCTCTACATTAACCAAAAAAAAAAAAAAAAAAAAATTATAATTGATGATATAGTGACACCGATTAAGAAATAGGATAGTGTGAAGCGGTGAATTTCAATTTCACACACTCTTCTCTATCTCAGTCGTTTGTGACAATATGACAATTATAGGATTACTGCAACAAATAATTAAACAATAGAAAAAAGATGAAAAAGAAAAAAAAAAAAAAAAAAAAAAACAATTCTTTTAAATTCAGAAAACTACATTTACTACAAACTGCAAAAAGAATTAAAAAACAAACAGAAAAATGCAAAATAGAAAGAGACCCTTATTAGCCTATCAGCATAATGTTGGGATGAACACCACCACTGCCAATGTGAACCTTGATCTAAAATAAATAAATAAATAAATATATTATTTCCCGAACAAAGTAAGTGTACAGTTGTTTGTTAATGAATTATTATTATTTAAAAAAAAAAAAAAAAAACTTACTATATAAAAAATGTGCAAAAATATACCCCTGTAGTTTAGTATGTGTATATAAATCTTTAACATTTGAAAGTATGCCAAAATTACTCAAAAACTAGTGTTTTTAGTTTGTCTTAAGGGCATTCTAAGTAATTCAATCTTCAAATTGAAAAAAAAATTCATTATTTACTCAATTTGAAAAATGTATGAATTTTTTTTAACACTAGGAGGGTATTTGCACAATCTGCATATAACATGGGAGTTTTTACATTTTATCCTTAATTTATTAAGCAAATTATTTACAGGTTGACCAATCCAAGTTATAAACTTTATGAAAAATAAATAAATAAAAAGATAAAAAAATAAAAAACTTTTTTTTCACTTTTTTTTGGGAAAACTTATATTTCATGTTTTTAAGAAGGGAGGTGATATTTGTTCTTTCTTGTTTTTACAATTGCACTACACGATTCTTTTTTTTTAAAAAAATACGTAGTAAATTATAATAAGTAATAAGGTCCCCAAACTCATACATGTATTATTATTATATTTTTTCGATTGTACATAACCCAAACACAATCTTTTATTATTATTATACATATACTTTTTTAATAAAAGAAAACATACATGGGAGAGGCGTATTTAATTATATATTGGGAGAAATATATTTAATGACATTGAGAAATGGGTCCTACAACATTTTGCAAAAAAAGAAAACTCATCAAATATACAATTATAAAATGTACTGTATAGAAAGCACATTTATATGTTTGTATTTATTATCTTGATTAAAAAAATTTAATCTCATTATTATTTTCTTTGTTGTTAGAATTGAAATCCCTTCTAACAAACTCCTTGAAAGTAAAAAATAAAAAATAAACTAATTTTCAATCCATAAGGCTTGGGCTTGTTTGTTGATTTCGTTGCTTACTTGTTGGTCTTTGGGCCGTTAATGATTCCTCTAGCTAGGCCCAAAAGGCCTTAACCGGGGAAGCTTGCCTTTTGTTTGTACATTATACATCAATAGTCAATACTAATCATTTATTGAAAAAAAAAAAAAACAAAAAATTGTGTTCATTCCTATTCCTAATTGTGAATGGAATTACAATATATGTAATTATTTCGTCAATTCTAAAAATAAATTTACAAAAGGGGGGTTAATTGTTAATTTATTATTTAATTTGGTATAAAAAAAATTAATGCAAGAATTAATTGTAAAAATCTATTATTTAATGAAAATTCATTTCCTATATTACAGAAATATGGTAAAAAAATTCTACTTTAAGTAATGAGATGATGTTTGGGAAATAGGAAAAATCTATAATATATATACACTTAAACACGCGTACGTAGGATGTCTCGGGATTGGTAAAAGTATAAAAGAATGTAAGAATAATAAATGTATATCGACGGCAGGGCTTTTTTTTATATATTTTTTTATTTTTTCTAAACTCAATCCTGCCCCTTAAATTATTAGATGGTCCGGGTTCAATTTTACACAACCAAATCAGTCCCTATCCTCTCTTTTAACATCCCATTCCTAGGGGCGGGATGGGTAAATTTGACATTCTTATTCATAATTTTAATTATTGCAGAAACTTGATTAACACATCTTAAACACGTGGTCGTTTTTTTTTCTTAGAACACGTATATCGGTCCCACAACACATGCATTATTCAAATGAGGAGTACGAAAGACCTCAAAGACTTACCTGCAATCAAATACGAACATAAACATATATAGTAATTAACAATCTTATATACAATTCAAATTTTTTTTTTTTATAATTTAAAATAAATAAATAAGTCGCATGAAGAAATTATAATCTGTCAAAATTTTATTGAGCCAGGTCACATTAAGTGACACGGAGAAATAATAATCCGTGTATACCTATAATTGGAAACTGTTTTGCTTCTCAATCGGTTGCTTATAAGTCAAGTTTCCGAATTACATATCATATATATAGAAACCACTAAGAAAGTGATTAGACACTTCATGTGAATCACCTTCGCTGTCTGTCTCTGTCTATATAATGTTTTATAAACACACACATACATGGAGAGAAATCGCAAGATGGAGCATTTATATTACGACATGGAATATCGTGTTCTAGATATCACCATAATCAGTGCAGAAGGACTCAAGAACGTTAATACGTTCTCCCATATGGATGTTTACTTGGTGGCTTCCATCTCCGGAGACCGAAACACCGAGCGCAGGACTCTCACGTCCGACAGGGGTGGCGGGAGCAGCCCCGAGTGGAACAACCGGATGAAATTCTCGGTGGCTGAAGCCGACTTGGCCACGCCGACAGAGCACTTTGTCCGGTTCGATCTCCGGTCCAAGCGCTTTGTTCTTGGCGACCGAGACATCGGCTACGTCTCCGTCCGCCTCCACGAACTCCTCGAGAACGCAGGCGACGGCGGAGAGCGTGTCGTGGTGCACAAGGTCCGTGACGCCGCCGGGATGACTAATAACGGTAGGCTCAAGTTCTCTTACAAGTTTGATGAGAGGTTCTCTGCTCCACCGCCGGATAAGTTTTATCAGTCCCGCAGGGGCTGTGCGCCGCCTCCAGGGGTGGCGCCGCCACATCGTCCGGCACGGTTGTACGTCTTTTCAAAGGAGACGGAGGCCATAAATTATGGGGTTGAACAGATGCAGAAGAATAAAAAGCCTTTTGTCTGTCCGAGGATTATTTGCAATGATGGTGAGTTTGGGAATTTTTAGGGATTGATTGAATCTAGTTTAAAAACTTGTTAATTGTAAATATTAATTAGGGTATGATTTTAATGTTATATTATTTCTGTTCAATCTCTGCTTCAATTTTACTCTTTCGAGTTCATTGATTACTCTAATTAGTGAAATTGAATTAGAATTTGAAATATATAAGAATTTCTTTTTCTTTGAATTAGAACGATTTGTTGTGCCCAAAAAGTTTTTGGAGTTTGGAGGAAAGGTTTGATTTGAATGAAATTTAAATTCGGCAATATTTTGGTTGTCAATTGAAAATATTAGGGTATATTTGAATGTTATATATTTTTTTTGTTTTATCTTTTTTTTTTTTCCTCACTCTTCAAATTTACTCTTTCGATTTCATTGATTACTATAATTAGAGAGAATCACTACTTATTATGCTAATTGGCACTAATTTAGTGAATAATTTTCTTTTTGCCAAAAACTATTCTTCAATGCACTTTCATTATTTCCAATATAATCGGGACCATATGACATTTAGTGGTTGAATTCAATCAAAATCAAAACTTATATTTAGATCCCCGTATAACGGATAGATATTCGTATTAATCGGTGAATTTTTTATTTAAAATGGAACTTTTTATTACATATTCGATAAATATGAATTTTTAATTAATTTGAATGTAGTTTAATGAAACTTTTTAAGGATATTGAGCATGAGCATGAGCATGAGCAATTAACTATTAATGATTCCTAAATTGCTGTCATTATAAAAAGGACATGGTTATTTAAAATTTCAACTTAAATAGGTATGATTATTTTGTTTCCATAAAATTTTCAGTTTTTCATAAGCCCTTTTCTTTAGTTTTGCATTTATGGTTGTATCATCTTCTCCTTTTTCTCTGTTTTTTTTTTCTTTTTTTTTTTTTTTTGTTTTGGTGGTACTCAAATATAAGAATTTGATTTGTACAAAATCAATAACAAAAATTACAATATTTTTTTACAATTTTTCAATATTTTGAAATAATTTTTTTATAAATTGGTTTCGTTATTTTTGTTTCTGAGAGTCAGATAAAGCATTAGTTTTGATCATTATAAAAATTACCAAAGCTTATCAAAGTAATTGATGTATATTAATATTCAATGACACAATGTTTTATCTCTAGAGTATTTAAAGATATTGAAATGTGATGTGTGTGTGTGTGTATATATATATATAGATACACAATTTGATATACATGGAGATTGAAACTTTAATTGCCAAAAAAATAAATTAAGATGAAACCTAAAAAAAAAAAAAAAAATTCCATTATATTTGACACATAAATAGCACTATAAACTAGATAAAGTAGTAGGTTTTTATTTGTCAGGGTTAAATAGGAGGATTCTTATAAAAAAATACTTGGTATTACACCATTTTTGAGAAATTTTCATAACTATATTTAAATAAATAAAATTTATGAATGGTGTAAATGTGAATTTTTAAAATTTCTATACTTTTTTAATTACATAACTTACATCTAGTACCTTTTTTTATTCACTTTAATTTGATCACTGTATTTTTGCAACACAAACATTAATAGGAGCAGCAAACTATTAAATTATTAATGCTACTTCTTTCCTTCCCAAAACATTACAAGCATCAGTAAAAAAGGAAAAGAAAAAGAAAATAGAAAACAGAAAGGAAGAATGATCTAGAAAAAACAAAGGAAAGAGAGACCCAACTCAGTTAGATTTGGAAAAAGGAAAGGACGCTGTGGTTTCCTATACCCCGCGCCATGGCCGACTATTTCAATGAGATTTTTCGTACTTTAAATTGGACAAATTATTATCAAAGATGATCAGTGGTATGTTTGATTTTTTATTTTTTTTTAATCCTAGCAAGAAACAAGCCAAACGTCATACGGCATCTACAGGCAAGAATATCGGACATACACATAGAACTAAAAAACACCAACGTTCACAGAACTATCCAAATCAAACTAACACCCCTTATAGTCAAGATCATAGCCTCGACAAACGAATAAAAATGTGTCAGATAAAGAGTAAGTACTATCACCACAAAAGAAAGAACCACCACCACACACCACCCCCCTTATAGAAAAAGGCACCGCCATACATAACGACCAAACTACTCAAATGTCTGGCCCACCAGTATCGAAAAGAAACCACATGACCATGCCCAACGTGGTCAACACGCCAACAGGAAATCACAATACTGATGTCAGACAAAAAGACTATCGTTTGAGTGTACAGCAGCCCTAGGCCTTCCAACTCCGGCAATCGAAACGGCAAGGGAACAAACAACTCCCGACAAGGAACCTGACAACGAGTTTGATAGGCAGAAGAAACCCAACTTGAATTAAGAAAAATGAACAGGATCCTGGAATACGTGATCAACGAATTTCCATCACCGGAATCACCAACAACACAAAGAAAAAATCACCAATTACAGCGATGCAGAGAACCCGCTGGAAACATAAGTGTACTTCCCCGGCCAAGACATCCAGCATCACCCAACCACGGACCAGAGTTATTAGCACCAAGAAAAGTCGCATCCCTCATAACCAAGCAATTCACCATGGGTTTAACATCCATTAAAACCCTTACTTTTTCAATTTTTTTTCTTTCATTTTTTTCTCTCTAAGAGTATCTCGAATGACATCTTTAAAATTTGACTCTCCAAATTTGCTATGTCAGCATTTTTCAATAGTTCCGTTAGCATTTTCAAGAGTCACGCCAGCGTTTTTGACTATCTAAATTTTTGCTATTGTAAGTGCTCCAATGGAACGTTTTTGATTTCCAAAAATTGAAATATTTTAATATTTTTAAAATTTTTAATAGATTAATATTATTATTTTTTTTTTACATTTTTCTAATTGTTATAAAGACTATATCATACAAAAACTATTAAACAATATTATGGATTATAAAATTAAAACAATACAATACTGTATGATTTTTTTAAAAAAATAAACAACACAATACTATTATTAAAATGAACTAGAAAAAATAACAATCGTATGGCACAATCATATACATTAATTTTTTTCCTATTTAAAAAGCACTTTAACTCTCCCTTTTTCTTTTTCTTTTTTTAACCCAAAGAAGCTTTTAAGGCACTATTTATGTCGGTCAAACAGTACCTCAACAACTCTTTTCTTTAATTGTGTTATGGGGAAAGGGCTACAGTGATTTGGGCATAAAACAATTTTAAAAAATGGTTGATTACAATGACACCCCCTGAGATTTGAGGTATTGACAGACATATATAAGTTAGGCCTTTTTTTAACAGACCCCCGAAATTTGATAAAGTTGACAAAACACCCCGACACCATCTAGCATGCCTGACACATGAAAAATTGACCAATTTGTCCTTTGACTTGTTTGTGTACCTTTATTACTTTACAATTTAATTAATTAAACCAAACTACCCTCATTACCACTTGATAGGAAAAAAAATTGCATAACTACCAAAATCCGTTACTAACATATTGACATTGTTAATTACAATGGAATTTGCTGTATACAATGGAACTTGCTATACATAACCAACATTTAACATTAATGGAACTTGTAATGGAACTTGCAATATATATATGTCAAAATACTAGTAAAATAGAGGAGAAATAATACAGAAAAATGGCAAGTGGAAGCTTTGTGTCATTTTAAGTAAAAAGCTTTATATCATTTTAAGTACAAAGCTTTGCACCAAAAAAAAAATATATATATATATATATAAAATAAAATAAAATAAAGTAAAAAATACAATGGAATTGAAGTTTTGCACCAAAAAAAAAAAATGAAACTTTGCAATTACAATGGAATTGAAGCTTTGCAACAATAAAAATAATAATAATAATAATAATAATAATAATAATAATAATAATAATAATTTGGTAAGTACTTCAGTTGTCCTTTATACCATTGTGGTCAACAAAAGCTTTGCACCTAAAAAAAAAATTGCAAGTACTTCAGTAGCCCTGAATAAAAATAGCATTACAGTTATTACAAACTTATACAAGTCATTATATAGCCATTATTTGACACAAAAAATTTGTACAAGTCATTACATCATTTGACACCAAAAATTAACCAACTATGATGTGCAGTTAACAACTATGTGTTGGAAACAAGGCATTAAAAACATAAACTTTGGATGAGATTTTGAAAAGATTCCGTTAAGAATTATTTTCAGATCTATAGACGAGTGCATTTCTCTCTGCAAGGAGATGAATGTGGTATATTTAATTCCTCAAATCCGTTTCCGGGTGAATGAGAAATTAGCTCCAAAGTAAGGTATTTAATAAGCCTAAATGGGTTTGCAAAATGTGGGAAATGTTTGCCCCACATCGAAAAAATATTAAAACCAAATTGAGTTCATATAAGCCTAGTATGGGATTTGGGTTTAGGCCCAAGGGCACCCAAATTTTTAAAAGGGGGAGGACCTAGGCAAGCTTGGGTCTGAACCAACTACCACACGCACGCGCCGCCCGCCCGGTCCGGGCTAGGCCGGGCCGGGGCTTGATTGTGAAATATGTTTAATTTTTTATTAAACGAAATTAGGCCTATGTGATTGGATTTTAATATTATTTTGCTGGGCTTATTAAGATGGTCGATTTGAGCCTGTTTGCTGGGCTTCATAATGGATTAAAACAGTAATGGTTTTAATTTAAATTAAAATGATAAAACAGTTTGTTCTGAACCATTATGAACCAATGGTTGCACTCTTTTGCAAAATAAACCACCAGCAGTTTTTTCCTGAACCATTGTGAACCAATGGTTGCACCAATTCAAAAAAGGCACCATCTAGCCTTTAAACACCCCTCCTTGTGTTCATTCCAAATCACACCAAAATTCAGAATTCTTCTCTTCTTCTGAATTTTCTTCTTCCTCCTTCTCTCTCTAGTCTGTGGGTTCGACCCTTAGTATTTGGGTTCGAACCTTAGTCAGTCACTCCGAGTCTAAGTTCGAGTCAGAGAGTACTACACCGAACCGATTCACCTATTCCTTTGGTTTGCAATGCTACTACC